TTCAGTTGGTACAAACTATGATGTCAATATGACAACGTTTTTCACATATAAAAATGTCCTCTCATTATTAATACATAATCATCAGAAAATAGATCACGCATTAATTTCAGCAAAACTATAAAATTTCTTATAATAGAATATAAATAAAGTACGTCATAAACAAGTTAGCGACTTACTATTAACAGAAAATAAAGATGAGAATCAATAAATATCGATATGAAGGACGGCCAAAGCAAGCATATAACTTTTACTTTTGATAGTTTTACAACAGTGCTGGTTAGAATATTATATACACTATATTTTAATTATCTAATTCTCTGTGTAATGTTTTGTTATAATCATTATTCTGAACTGTTAGCTTAGTATATGTATTTAGGACTAACCTATGCCTCCTGAGGTTGTCAAACCTCGTGAGATATTATTAGGTATACGGCCACAGATATAATTATCGACTTGATAAAACATTAAAGTCTAATCATTATAGTTTGAACATTAGATTTAATTAGGTATGCTCATTAACAGGGATATATATGTTTAGTTTGGTTTGTTATGAATTTCGTGCTAGCCGTCCCTAACTTAGCAGTGTAAGACTAGAGGGAAGGCAGCTAGTTATCACCACCCACCACCAACTCTTGGGCTACTCTTTTACCAACGAATAGTGAGATTGACCGTCACATTATAATGCCCTCACAGCTGAAAGGGCGAGCATGTTTGGTGTGACGGGGATTCGAACCCGCAAAGTACGAGTCGAGCGCCCTAACCACCTGGCCATGCTAGGCCTATATGTTTAGTTCTAATCTATATAGGTAGTTTGCTTTCATCGTAACTTAACATTAATTAGCTTTCTTTGAAGCACAACAACTAGTACCAATAGTGAAAGAAAACTTACACGTAACAATAGTGACATGATACTTACAGGAAACAATAATGAAACAAAACTTACACGTAACGTTTCACTACTGTTACGTGTAAGTTTGTTTCTATATTGTTTCCTTTAAGTTTTGTGTCGCCATTGTTACATGTAAGTTTTGTTTTGGTGTTGTTTCTTGTAAATTTTGTTTCACTATTAAACTTACGGGTAACAATATAGAAACAAAACTTACACGAAACAGTAGTGAAACAAAACTTGCGGGTAACAATAGTGAAACAAAACTTACGGGTAACAATATAGAAACAAAACTTACACGTAACAGTAGTGAAACAAAACTTACACGTAACAGTAGTGAAACAAAACTTACACGTAACAGTAGTGTAACAAACTTACGGGTAACAATATAGAAACAAAACTTACACGTAACAGTAGTGAAACAAAACTTACACGTAACAGTAGTGAAACAAAACTTGCGGGTAACAATAGTGAAACAAAACTTACACGTAACAGTAGTGAAACAAAACTTACACGTAACAGTAGTGAAACAAAACTTACGGGTAACAATAGTGAAACAAGACTTATAGCGTAAGCTGTGAACTCAGAGAAACTAGTCTTCTGCAGCGGAAGTAGCGAATCAACGAACTGATTAGGTCTCAACGTCATATTTTGTTCATTGAAATTCACGTTTTGGTGAGGATAAGAAACAAACAACCAGTTATTCCGCTGTATAATAACTGATAATTAACTGTGCCGGTATGTTACTTGTTATATAAACACTTACAGTATTGTAGGTCATTGGTGGTGAGTGAGAAAACGGCTAACTAGACCAACCAACATCAGATTTAGTAAACTATATGACATTATATATCTAGGTTATTGAGAGCTGTCAAAGCTCTGATCCAATACGTAGATGTCGAGAAAAGAAATGCTCTCAGTGACAAGTATTCTAATTACGCCATATCTACAAATTGTAAGTTCGATTATCGATCTTAACTCGTTTTCTGTGTGCCACTTACTCGAAGTATCAAGAGATCGATAACTAAACTTATAAATTCTACTTTATATTTATAAGTAAATATATATACTATGTGTGGTTTATAGGACAATATACAACAGTATACGTAAATGTGACAAGTTTGATAATTTATACGTTTTTAATTCTTTATCGAAACAGGCTAGATTAAAGTTACCAAATATTTCTGAAACTTTAAGTCTATTTCAGCTAAAGCTTATCGTTAAAATATCTGTTTAAATGCAGAGTTTAAGCATTGTACTACGAAGGAAGAGCTGAGCTGGTATGTTGCATAACTGATCTTGATCCCATGGTAGTGGAAGGTCAAGGTAATACTTACCTGCAGTGATCACCTGAGAGAAAGTCAAGGTAGTACTTACCTGCGGTGATCACCTGAGAGAAAGTCAAGGTAGTACTTACCTGCGGTGATCACCTGAGAGAAAGTCAAGGTAATGCTTACCTGCGATGATCACCTGAGTGAAAGTCAAGGTAATGCTTACCTGCAATGATCACCTAAGTAAAAGTCAAGGTAATACTTACCTCCGATGATCACCTAAGTAAAAGTCAAGGTAATTCTTACCTGCGATGATCACCTGAGTGAAAGTCAAGGTAATGCTTACCTGCAGTGATCACCTGAGAGAAGGTCAAGGTAATGCTTACCTGTGATGATCACCTGAGAGAAAGTCAAAGTAATACTTACCTGCGGTGATCACCTGAGAGAAAGTCAAGGTAGTACTTACCTGTGGTGATCACCTGAGAGAAAGTCAAGGTAATGCTTACCTGTGATGATCACCTGAGAGAAAGTCAAGGTAACACTTACCTGCAGTGATCACCTGAGAGAAGGTCAAGGTAATGCTTACCTGTGATGATCACCTGAGAGAAAGTCAAGGTAGTACTTACCTGCAGTGATCACCTGAGAGAAAGTCAAGGTAATGCTTACCTGTGATGATCACCTGAGAGAAAGTCAAAGTACTGCTTACCTGCGATGATCACCTAAGTAAAAGTCAAGGAAATACTTACCTGCGATGATCACCTGAGTGAAAGTCAAGGTAATATTTACCTGCGATGATCACTTGAGCAAATCCTTGAGTTGATTCAATTTCGTTGTAAACAAAGCATTGATAAAACCCCGCGTCATGTCTGGCCACTGACGTTATCAGAAGTCGATTACTTTGAACAAGTTGAATCCTACTGTCAACTTGGACTGGTTCTGCATTTTTCAGCCACAAGACGGTGTTTACCGGATACCCAGAAGTCTCACAAGTCAGCGTGGCCGAAGAGTCAATATCTACATGTTGACGTGCTGGGAAAACAGACGCTCGAAGTTCAGCTGGAACCCATGAAGATAAGGATTTGAAACAACTATTGGAAACATTTTTATATATAGAACGAAATGTCAATCAAATAATTCTTTGGTCCAGACAAACCACATAAACTGTATATAAGCATGGACATGACGATAAAGAAAAAAGAAAAAATCCAGTGAGGAAATCCTCTTGTACAAGTGGAACATATTAAACAAGAAAATACAGCTAGAGCAATAAGGAGTGTTTCGGTGTCACGACTCACTGGATTATGATATGCTGAGAACCTTACTGTCTGTTGATAAAAAACACCCAAAACTATAGCTGTAATACCACGAATATGCACTGTTCTCCAGAGCATTGTATTTTGTACTGTTTTCTAGTTAGATACTCCACACTACCGGGAACTAACATGTTAGGCTTAATCGTGCATTATTAGTTGTGTAAACTTTGAACTTCTCAACCAGTAACCAGAAGATTCAAGCGTAGGCCTGGTATGGTAAAATACCAGAAAGACACTTTCAGCAACATAGTATTTACAGTTTAAGCAGAAGGCTTAGGCCTGTGTCTGGTATTGTAAAGTAGACACAATTGTTTAAAATGGCTCAGAAAATGCCTGTAAGCCTATACAATAGATTCAAAAATATACATGTCTGTAAATTCTATACTAGACGGTTTACATTAAAGTAAAGATGGCAGAACGTTGTGTTGCCATGGGAACATTTTTCCCATTCCCCAAAGCAACAAGAATGTATGTGGATAGTTTCACTAAGTGTGAGTGGCCGGATGTTGACATTTTAGCTATAGCTTTACAAAAGTATAAATTATTTCTACATGATACTGGAAAGTGATACATATATATATACATGCCACTTAATGATGGAAATATGTATATGGACATAGAATGTCACAATCCAACAGGTATTAACTACAAAAAACCAGTTAGGAACACTTCAATTTCTAGTGTTTGACACTACTTTTAACTATCTTAGTTACGGCCATAAACAAACAGTGCTAGAACACGTCCCTCTACATTTGGTATCTGATGATGACAAAACTTTGTCGAAACGTTGTACATTTGCTGTTATGTTAAACTTATATTAAAGTTTTTCTTCATTACCCATTCAAGTCGTCTCCAGCCATTATTAACCTTTTACCCAGTTCCACGAACAAACATATTTACTAGAAACATAAAAATCCCATCAACATACTAGACAGACATTGTTCAACATATGTTAGCTGCATTTATCTAGTAACGGATATTCTAAAACTGTCAACAAAGAATCCTACCATTCCGAATGAAGATTTAATTGTGATCTATGGTCTTACCACCAATCAGAACGAAGTCTCATTTGTGACCTATGTTCTCACCACCAATCAGAACAAAGTTTCATTTGTGACAAAAGGATCACCGCCAATGAAAATGAAAACTCTAATGCAACCCAGATGTAGAGATTTGGATTATTTTTGGCCCTCTTTAGACTTGTATTCTATGTTATAACGATTGGGGTTCTCTTCATTCACACCATAAGGAATTGGGCTTCTAATAAGTATATTTAACAAGGTTGATTGAGTGACCAATGGCCAACAATGGTGAGTGAGTGACCAATGGCCTTGGAGAGAAAACAAACCACAAGGTGTGAAAAGACCAAAATAACATAAGTAAGAAGTGACTTATATCATTTAACAATGTAGTCACTCTGCTTGTGGCTCCTGGTTAGAGATGACTTGTATCATTTTACAATGTAGTCACTCTGCTTGTTGCTCCTGATTAGAGATGACTTGTATCATTTAACAATGTAGTCACTCTGCTTGTTGCTCCTGGTTAGAGATGACTTGTCTCATTTAGCAATGCACTCCTGGTTTCTCACTATATATCATGGTAAATCTGTCTATCAGTCTATAGTAAATAGTCCAATAAAATCGGAGATACAAAACTCAATTACCACATTGTATTTCTTTAGTTGTATTGTTAATATATAATATGATATTTATACTGAGAATGGATCTCAGACAGTTTGTTTGTATATTTCAGAATTTCGCACCGAGTTATACAAATCTACCTGCATTAGTTGGACTGTTGGACTAAACGAAAGGCAGTTAGTTCACACCACCTACTGTAAATCTTGGTCTACCTTGATTTAATCGATCAAATATTGGTTTTGACTGTCACTCACAAATTGCGAAGTGCATTTTTTTTTTTTGGGTAACGGATCGCGAACCATAAATTCTCGAATTCCAGTCTGGTATAGTCTTACCACTTTTTTGGGGGAGTCCTTTTGTGTTGAACAAACTAAACGTTACTCATATTTTATGTTTTTGTGTTTATATTTTCCAGTTCTGAGGGTTTTGTAAGAGATGATTGGGTAAGAAGCCAAATTCTCAAATTATTGTTAAAGATTCTGTTTTTGTTTATGAACCTTAAACTATTACAGGGAGAACCTTGTTTTCGCTTTCTCGTAGGTGATTGTAAAATTAATTATCATACAAAAAACATTTTTAAGTTTTCGAGTTAAAGTTCGTAGAGAAAGCGTTTAATTGGATTTTCGGAATGTGTTCGATAACACAGGGAAGACAATCCAATTAATTTGTTGGTTGAAATGTATACACTCCCAAGGAATTGATAACGGTAAAAAAATATATATATATATAAGTCCGAAAATTTCTTGGGAGCTGAAATGAGGATGTAGCATCAGTTATCAAACCTTTGGGAAAGGTCTTGATAGAATTATTCAGTTTGCTGTTTTTTGAATTATCTATAGACCATTAGAAACAGATGTGATATTGAGTTTTATGTATAAGTTGCCTGAAGAGCTCTACACTCGTTTCTTAACTTATGAGTTATTGAAATAAAGGTTTGACATTATTAAACAATAAAAGAACTCTACAACACTAGAAACTTAGACGGTTCTCATGAAAAGAAAACTTCGTTAAACTAAACAAATATGGTTAAATAATTAAAAATTTAAATTGAATATACAAGCTAGAATTAACATACGAAAACTGGATGTCATTTAATATATTTCCAATAAAGAAAGCTTTTACCACATCCAAGAATCAATTAAACATATATTTTGTCCAAACTTCAGATGTCCAGAAATTTTCCCTAAAGTTAGAAGTGATAAATAAAATACAAAGCAACAGTTTAATACAATATTTTCACCCGTTGAATTCACACTTTCAATATTAACTTTAATATTAGAAATTATAAATAAAATATAAAGCAACATATTAATATAATATCTTCACCCGTTTAATTCACACTTTGAATCAATGGGTTAATATAATATCTTCACACTTTTAATCAATGGGTTAATATAATATATTCACACTTTCAATATTAACTTTAATATTTAGTAATTCTCTGTTAGGTTTTTACATCAGAAAGTAATGTTTCCTCAAATGTATTGCTAACTAGTCGATGATTTTATTACTAATCCTCTCTAATAGTAATAAATGGTGTATTGTGTTCTTGGATCTTATTGGTTCCTCTCTAATTGTAATAAATGGTGTATTGTGTTCTTGGATCTTATTGGTTCCTCTCTAATTGTAATAAATGGTGTATTGTGTTCTTGAATCTTATTGGTTCCTCTCTAATTGTATTAAATGGTGTATTGTGTTCTTGAATCTTATTGGTTCCTCTCTAATTGTAATAAATGGTGTATTGTGTTCTTGGATCTTATTGGTTCCTCTCTAATTGTAATAAATGGTGTATTGTGTTCTTGGATCTTATTGGTTCCTCTCTAATTGTAATAAATGGTGTATTGTGTTCTTGAATCTTATTGGTTCCTCTCTAATTGTATTGGTTCCTCTCTAATCGTATTAAATGGTGTTTTGTGTTCTTGGATCTTCTTGGTTCCTCTCTAATAGTAATAAATGATCTATTGTGTTCTTGAATCTTACTGGTTCCTCTCTAATAGTAATAAATGGTGTATTGTGTTATTGGATCTTATTGGTTTCTCTCTTATAGTAATAAATGGTGTATTGTGTTCTTGGATCTTATTGATTTACCTGTTACTACCAGTTCTGTCGTTCTTCTGTCTTCGCTAATGCTGTTATTCACGAAGCACACATACTTCCCACTGTGATGTATTTGCGCGCGAGTTATTATTATTAGTCCTTCACGAACAATGATCTCATCTCTTTTGTCCAGTTCCCGAAGCTCGCCGTCCTCCAGTTTGTACCAGGTATAGACAGGTACGGGGAATGCCTGAGCGGCACAAGACAGGTGAACAACCCCAAGTTCTGTGGCTACAGTCCTGGAAATATAATGTGTGATTCGTAACGGGTCGTGTCCATGTGGCTCTATATAGAAAAGACGAAGAAAACAGACATTATAAGATCTCATGGACAATACTGACCTGTATACAACTAATAATTGTTTAATTAACTTACTTAAGTTCAACTGTTAAAATCTTTTATTCTCATCTCGTTTTTACGGTTTAACCACCTAATAATAATCATGTTTTTAAAAGATCATTTTTACGGTTTAATCACCTACTAATAATCATCTTTTTAAAAGATCATTTTTACGGTTTAACCACCTAATAATAATCATCTTTTTAAAAGATTATTTTTACGCTTTAGCCACCTAATAATAATCATCTTTTTAAAAGATCATTTTTACGCTTTAGCCACCTAATAATAATCATCTTTTTAAAAGATCATTTTTACGGTTTAATCACCTGATAATAATCATCTTTTTGATTTTGAAATAATAGACTAGATAAACGGAAACTAGCTAACAGCACCGACCGCCAACTCTTGTCTCAATAAATAACAGGAGTTTACAGTCACTATTATAGCGCTCGCTCACAGTCACGAGATGCAGAGCGCGTTTTAGCTTCGAACTATGAACCGTCGCTTTTATAGTCCAGTACTCCAACAGATAAGCTACACACAGCCTTTATTTTCGGTATTATCAATCACAAGTTTTTCTGTCGTTAAACTAGTTGTTTCGAAGTGATATAAATATGATGATAAACCATTGTGTTGCTGAAGACATAACCCACACTTTCCGCTATATTGTTCCATTTGGCACGTTTTCCTAGGTATTGTTACGTTTCCAATAAACTAAGTGGTAAGAATATTGTCAACAATGCGTAGCTATACAAATCAGGAGAGTATTTTTCCTAAAAAACAATGAAAATAAATATGACTGGATGTATTTCCAATCGTAATGTCGATTAAGACTTAACCACGTTTTACACACGAATCGGTGATCATCTCTTTTCACACCAGCGACGTTGTCATGGGCGATTTCCTGTATTAGTTTAGAATTAAGTACGAATAATAAAATTTGTCTCAAACTGCTTAAAGAATGTACTAAATCAAGAAAACAGGAAGACGTTAGATGGCCTTTTCCTATTCATTTTGACAAACTGCCCTCTATTAATATTAATAAAGATAGCCGTAAGTCCAAAGCGCATTTAAATCTATGGCTTTTAATCAGTACGACCCCATTTAGATGTAAATTAGTGTATTTGAAAGAGTCGTTGTGCGTACAGTACGGCGAGTTGGTCGATACTGACATCCAACAGCTATGGCCAGACTATTTTTATATCGCTGCTTGATTCCCTGATTAATGGCCTACATCAAATCCAGCACACTACACCGCATGTAGAGAGATTAGTAGAAACTCAGCATGCATCCAGAAACTTCTGACTCCAGTTAGGCAGAAAAAGATGGAATATATATATAAATCAAACGACACGAACAAAGGATGGTCCTAACATAATTTATTCTTTAATGACTAATTCTTTAATCAACAGTTATAAGAAATCTCGAGAACTTCGCAATTATTTGAAAAATATAGATCCACAATTGAAAATTTTCCAGACCTCCCTCAGCGACTGAGAACTAACTGACAAACAGAAAATGTCAGCTAATTTTTCAAAGCAAATACTTGTTCTTATTTAGCGCACATTATGTATGCACTACATTGCCTGTGTGACCATGACTTTGTTGGCTACAAGATCTCTAATAACGTATGAGTCCTGCACTACATTGTCTGTGTGACCATGACTTTGTTGGCTACAAGATCTCTAATAACGTATGAGTCCTGCACTACATTGTCTGTGTGACCATGACTTTGTTGGCTACAAGATCTCTAATAACGTATGAGTCCTGCACCACATTGTCT